TATATATATATATATATATATATATATATATATATATATATATATATATATATAACCGTGTGCGTGCATATACGCGTAAACATATACGTCAAAGGCAAGAGAAAAGCGGAGGAAAGCCATAATGAAGAGTAAATCCACATGCATGATAATTTTCAAACATTGTGATAAATATATTATTGAAAGCCGTGGCTGAATCGAGATCAATACTATCCACCTGCACTGTTTTCTGAATTTACGACGATTAGTAAAGCAGATAATTAACCTTGATATTCCCCTTCGGTATAAGTTCAGTATCACCGTAAATAAATACAACAGATATGCAAAAAAAAATTCTCTCTCGCAATGACACTTACTTATTTTGTGCTCGCAGGTCCGATATGTACTGGAAGTTCGGGGTCAGGGATCCGCCACTTGTAATTACTGCCTGTAGGTGCGGATATTTTCAAGTTAATGGGTTCTTAACTAGAGGAAATCTTTCATATTAGTTTCTATGTAATTTACTTTTTTTTCCGTTGGAAGGGTAGTGAACAGATATTTTTTGGCCAAAACTACAGTTTATATATATTTTTGATAAACATTAAAATTAAGAACAAGCAGGAAATGAAGAAACGAAAGAAAAATCAAAAGCATATATATATACATATATATATATATATATATATATATATATATATATATATATATATATATATAACTTCCAATATCTCTTTCGTCCTACGATGATAAAACCATTCACCTAAATACACAAAATCCACTTACCTGATGAACCTCATGACTGAAGTTATGCTCCTCAAACGGCTTCGAAACCTCTGACTGCAAGATACTGTACATGTAGGGCAGGAGCAGAGAGCCAAAGAAATCGGTCGCCTCACGTGGCAGCTGCGTCGGCATGTTGTCTATGCTGCACACGAGAACGCCAGGCCCTTTGAAGCTGGAAAGGGAAGGCGAGTCAAAAAAGTGGAAAATGAGGGGTAAAAACAGGGAAAGGGGGGGGGGGGCGTAGAAAACGGTGGTATACAGCAGATGAAGATGTGTGGTCATTTGGATTCTTTTCAATGGATTAAGAAACATGGACGCGGACGACATCTGCAGTTTTAAGTAAAAAAAAAGAAAAACACACATACACACACACACACACACACACACACACACACACACACACACACACACACACACACACACATATATATATATATATATATATATATATATATATATATATATATATATAATGAAGTCATTAAAGCATTCTTTTCGTGAACTAACAGATAACCTTACGTACAACAACCAGCAAACGTAAACTTTAAACAATCATACTATCACTTGCAAACTGCCCAAATACTAACGCACCCGAGTACTCACCTGTTCGTGTCTTTATTCTGGTTAGCATCGTACAGGCAGAAGGGTGTGTCGATGGTCGTGCACTCAGACATGAACTCGATGGAGCCGCCGGGGTCAGCTGAGATGTCGCAGATGGCCAACATGCGGTGCGGTAAAGCCGGGGAGCCGATCTAAGGGACCAAAATAAGGTTGGAGGTGATAATTAAGATGCATGGTCATTAAGTAGTATAGGGAGAGGTGAAAAAGTTCTTACGAGGTTGTATGCAAACAGTAGTTTTGTGTTGGTGAAAAATCGAACTATTTTATATATATATCGTCCAAATAACAGCTCAAAATAGTAAAAGATCACCACAATAACAGTATACCTTCAACTAGTATCTTTATAACTGAATAGTTTATGATTACATCGTGACACTTTTCTCGCCAATTCAATCGAAGCAGACCCGCATAGTCACTTTTCTTCAACACCACAAGGTTTTGCCCACCACGAGTGAATTTATGAGAATTTAAACATAAATTACACCCAGATATCTATAGCTAGTGTGTGTGTGTGTGTGTGTGTGTGTGTGTGTGTGTGTGTGTGTGTGTGTGTGTGTGTGTGTGTGTGTGTGTGTGTGTGTGTGTGTGTGAAGGTCAGATTTAGGCTTAAATGGAACTAGCTGCTCAGGGCCACATAAGTAGAAGGGACGTCTCAATTATTCATCGAGGTTCTATCATTCATTACCTCAGTGACACAATTAAAATATAATAAATATAATACACATAAATCAACAAACTGAATAAGGACAGGTGCTAACCCCTTTCCCAGTTTCATTTGATATATATATATATATATATATATATATATATATATATATATATATATATATATATATATATATATATATGTATATATAATATATATTTGTATATGTATATATAGCAATGTATATTTGATAAAGCGCATAAAAAATCGTTGCAATTGGGTCTTGCCTCTATTTTGGCTCTATCCTGTGCCTCTTGCAAACTAACATTATGCAATACCTCCTTTCGAAGACAAACTAACTTTTTTTTTCAAACTTGGAAGTCTAATACTTTAACATCAGTTAATAAAGATTAATTAAACACATATGCAATCAGTTAATATCCAAAGTTTGTATAGCTGTATCGTCTATCTCTAATTCCAGTTCCGTTTAGGTTTTATACATATTACACTTGTTACACTAAAAATACTTTCTGCGGTCGTTTTGTGGAGCGTTCTTTTTACGACATTAAACAATTGCAGGAGAGTTGGAAATAGGAACTAGTGGAAAATTAGTACTATAGATTTTACGGTCAGAGACGTCACTGTTACATTTGCAGGTAGAGGAACCTTTTACACGTCGAATATTAACCTAAAGTCGTCTCAGGGGGCGCTGCATCCTCTTTGCATGCCTGCCATTTTCACCTACAAACTTATTATTCTTTGTGCATGAATAAAGATTGCATAACTGCACACCACTGTTGTGAATATCAGTGTATATTTCATATATTTAATGAAGAATAGGATAATACCTAGGCCAGTATACTCTCACATTTCGTTACAGAAAAAGAAAACCAGGCAACTCACTCCTAACTATGGCGTACTCTGATTTGATAAAGCATAATAAAGCGGCGTAAAACAACAAAAAATATTGTATATGAATGTTAAAAATCCAGTGTTAGAATAAGTATTAAGTGTCAGTTGATATGAATCAGAGTATCTCAAAACCGGGGAGAGTCGCCTATTGTTTCTTTCTTGAAATCGGACGCACTATTTTATACATAAACGCACTATGGTTTATGTATAAAGTGAATATGTTAAGAAATAGTCACTCCATTTCTGAAATGAACTAACAGGTAAAGAAGTTGCTTTTCATTTTATTTGGCTAAAAGAGTAGAAATATATTAAACCAGGAAATGTGCTCTGTTATAAAGAAAGTGTACATAGCTATACAACAATCAAACATGCAACATTATACGAACACAAAAAGCCTGTGCAAAAGTGACAATTTGCATCAACACCAACCTCTTTGTTAGCACAAGGGATGCAAGAAGTTAAATGATAAGGACTGGATAATTGTAGGAGGAAATAGGGATGACAAATAACAAAGGTTGTACTGATGCAATAATTTCACTTATTTATGATTTTTTTTTTTACAATTTCTGTTTTTTGAAAGCCGATATACACATTGTTTGTGCTTCTGTTTGTGACAAAACCACTGGCATATACATGTGCAGAGGGGATTCAGCCCTGGAAAACCATTTAAACGCAGGTGTCACAAAACCATACTATTCTGTGGCCTTGGTTGCATACATTAGCTGGTCGAGAATACGTTCAGATTTCTGAAAACTATAAAGTGGCTGCAAATTTCACCTCTTTTTACATTTTGGGTAATATTGATATGGATTACCTATACATCGTTATTCAATGGCGTCTCTGGATAAGTAGACTGTTTGAATTTCAGTTGATAACTGATTCACAGAATCAACAGCTCTTCAAATCCGAAATTGTATATGAACTTCATCAAACAAACGCGTATTTTTTATAGTAACGATGAATGAATTTGATTATTTGCGTGATACTTTTCAACCAATTATGCACATAAGTATTAATCTTGGTAGACAGCATGTTTTCGTCACATTAAAAACAAATTTCAGATTGGATACAACTTCAGTTTTCTACACAAGGATATTCTACAACAAATATTTGACACAACATTTTCATAAGGGCCCAACTGACTGTATGCTTCCATGAGGTCAAAGACACATCTGCCATAGCCTACCCTATTCTTGTCACCTGCAGTGTCGTTGGTTATCACTTTACGTTCGTCCATACTTATGTTTCCCTGCTTTGTCTCCCTCTGCCTCTGCTTCTGTTCTTGATGATGTGGAAGAAAGGCCATTTTAACTCTAAACCCCGTCACTATAAAAATCTTGTTTTAATAGCTGTCATTTCTAGAGACAAGGGCTGTGCATATTTAGTTATGATTATCATTTAGTTTAGAATATCCATATCGCATCACTGGGAGGACTTTATCGTGATCTATATCGCAAAGGCTGGACCAAACACTATACACAGAGGAATTTGTATTAGTAAATATTCTACTACCTGAGTTAAATTCTAGATTAAAAGAAGTGACAGACAGTAGCAGAACACATCGCAATTTTGACTTGTCAGTTGGCCAGGAGTAGCAATGCAAAGACCTATATACTCCTGCAAAGTTTGAGTTAAAGGAAGTGAAGATCGTTGCTACTCTGGTTAACTGAAATTTCATGAAAGAAACCAATTGCTTCAGACGCACGAAACCACACTCAAAACCTTATACTAATACACCCTGTGTGATTTCTGTTAAAATATTAATAATAATGATAATAGAATAAGAAGAAAAATTTTTTTCAGAGTTCAGGCGACAATTTGGAAATCTAGCTTGATTTTGAAACTGGCTTTTTATCTTTCAACGAACCTGTTCCACTTGTTGGGTTTCTGCCATCGTGCTGAAAAAAAAACGTCGTGCTTTCGATATTCAAGGTATAAATATGCGTTAATATAAAAGTCTGTCTTACCGATATAGGAAGCCATGGCGTGTAGACTGGTTGTAGAAGGTACTTTGCATCCGGAATTGTTAATAACTTGGGGGAATTCACAGCCCAGTATATGC